CATTCGATAGAGCTCATCGAGTTGTACTTGGAACTCAATTGGAACATGTTCCTGGGCGAATCGGTGGCAGAATTACTCGAATCGGACGCTAACTTCGCCTACGTTGCTCATCCATGGATTCACCCAGCTACGGTAAATCAGCATATAGTGAAGTTAGCTGCATTACAAATAGTCATATAGAAACCGAAATGCCATGTCGTATTACAAGCATCAGTTTTATTTTTTATGTCAAGAACAATAGATTTCAATAAAACTTGGTGCTCTAATCTTCAATTTTGTTACGTTCATAGTTTATTTTCCGGGTCGTCCACTGCCTGAAATATTATCAGGAAAGAAGTAGACACTAATCATATCGATTGCTTGTCGAGTTGTCGCTGATTGCCATGGAAACGATTTGATGTTGATGCGAATGAGCATGGTCGCCGCATTGATTATCAATTTTCCAAGTTTTTCTTCGAAGGGTAGACAAAGGCGCGCTATCATGATATAAAAATGATTCAAGAACAATGATGAAGTAGTTGATTACATCAACTTACGTGGATCCATTCTATCAGCGGGCATATAAGAATGAATACTAGTCGAATTGATCAATTCATTTCTTTCATTGTACCATTCAAGTTGAATCCGTATACTCTCATCATACCCTGCCATGGAAGCCGAGAGAAAGTAGTTATATGGTGCACCTGAATAGAGAGATCGTGGAAAGTGAACATTCTGTATGTACTCAGCGTTCATGCCGGCATCAATCTGAAAATAACAATTTCCCTGTCGTTGTGGGTCATCTTGTCGTAGCAATGAATCGGATCTGTTGTAGGACATGCGACGAATTTGACCATACACTCGAAACCATTCGCCCTTGGGTATTTTTGAATAATCAGATCTGAATTCATTAGGCAAAGTGCGACCGATGTCCGAACCAGCCAATGTTTCACATGACACTTCGGCATCACCATCATATAAATCAGTACGTCCATGATACCAGCCATAAGATCGACTGGCAACAATCACAAGTACAAACAGCGATGCTAATCGATTCATTGCAATATAAAAACAATATTGACTTATACTTTTTCTTTTTATTTGATATATTTTGAAAATGGTTTCTTTGAAAATTATTGATACTTTAAATCGCATTCATATCGTATTTCTCTTAGGTATTATATTGATGAGAAATAAATGACAGGGGCAGAACGAGATTTAAAGAAAACATGTCAGTAAGGATGAGAAAGTAGTGATGCAATCGATAGAATTCACTGAGAAAGTCGTATTGTTTAATTATGATAAGGAAGAAATGAACATGAACGAAACATATGCGTGATTTCTGTTTTTCACACGACAGGAAGTTCTAGCATATGCCTACATAATGGTCGCTTCATCTTGACCAAATTAGCCATTAAAGAATACATTCAAGTGATGACTTTTTCATTATCGAACTATACACAAGCTCACGAATTAATCAAAATAACTGTTAATATCATGAAGATTTCACAATAAAAGAGCTTTACTTGCTATTGCCATGCCTGTAAGACTAGCTTAGCATCCCAGATCGAATAGAACGACCCGTAAAAAGTCGTAAACAACACGAAAACTGTGAAAAACTGCTTCCATTCTGATCATCGTTTAAGAACCAGCTGAAATGGCAATTGTTTCGACCACCGATTTAACTCCATTGTCAAGTTATTTTCACATTCAAGCAAAAAAAAGTATCTTATAAACATCATTAAATATTTTCTAATGATGTTTAGCAGTAGATAAACCTTAATAATCTTATCTACCATGTCTAGTTGGACCGATTTCTAATATTTCATGGAAGTGTTTTGCTGAAATTGAAGTGCACTTTGTTCTCTTTCTTTCTTGCGTTTTGTTCTTTTTCATTAATATAAGTCTCCAATCCGTTTTTTTGAGCTAGTTTAAGCCCCAATAGATAAGTTTTATTCAGATCTATTCAACGATATGAAATGCACCCTGCAAAAACGTTGCTATGTCTTACCATATGATGATTGACATGGTACTAATATTGAGTTATCGAGTACATATACACACCTTTGCATATTCCTCGTTCATCAGTTTTTTTCCATAGATAAATTCCATTGATGATAGAACTCATCCATTTGTCTTTTAGATGCCTCGTAGGAAACTTATCCAAGTTCCAATGATATTGCTCATCGCACATCGAAATATAGCTCGTAAATGTATAACAACGGCGGAAAAAAGGCTAGTGAGTTACTTGTTAAAAAGCATGTCACTGATAGTATAGTTTTTTTTTTAATCAGTGAACTCCTTCATGCAAAAACATATTTTATGGTACACTCACACACAGTAGGTACCATTGTTGTGTATGTGTGCATTTCTTTCTCATATATCTACTTTGGATGTAGCTTGTGAGGAAAAATCCGTATGCAGAAATGTTATACATGTAATGAAATGCATCGTACAATAAATGAAAGTATAAGCAGGATATTTTCTAGGATACAATTCGAGTAATGAAAATGAACTATATATGGCAAGAAAACTGTGTCAATACGGCTCATCATTATTCGGTGAAACTGGCATGAAACGGCGCCGTAGTCTGGTACGACGGATTACGACCCTAAAATCAGTGAAAAATGGTCAACAACGGTACTAGTTTTTCACCGTTTACAGCTCGAAATAAGCCATTTTATTGCCGTTTCAAGCTAGATAAGGTGTCGTTTCCGATTGTCGGAATGATCGATTTGGGCCATAGGTACAGCTACATCTCAACGCGCACACTAACCTATACCCACACCCTGCATGATGAATGTCGTTTCAGCACTGTATAATATTCTGATTAATTCTTAGTTGATAATTTTTATATGAAAATTTTTAATAAACATGATCATATAGATCGCTATTATTATATCAAGCAGTTTAGATAATAAACATCATGAATAAGTGATAATATTATAAGTCTCTTGATTTTGAAAAAGAAATATTGCACTAAAATTCTAGCGCTGCTACATCTTCATCCAACATTTTGTTGTAACATGACGAATTAGGATCCAAGAAATGCTTATGAACTATTCGAATAAAAATAAAAGAAATAAAAAAAAGAATTTTTTTCATTCGATCAAATCATTGTTGAAAAGTCAAACTTACTATCAACGTCATCGGTTGCACTGCATCGCCAACAAAACTGAATATTACATAATGTACATCTTACAGCATTGCATCCAGCATATTTGTCAATCGGTGTTCGACATTTAGGACAAGGCTTGTGAGATAGTTTACCTAGATTGTATTCCAAAATGGCATCTTCATCTTTTTCTTCATGTAATTTTTTATATTGTTCGCATGTCATTCCAATATGATATTCAACTTTGCACGGTACGCAATAGAATTTGATACATTGATCGCAGAAATACATTGACAAATATTTTGATGGACGATATACCTGAACAAATAGAATCAATCTTGTATTAAAATTATTGTTTCTAATTAACTAAATAAAAAAATGAGTCTAACTATAAGAAGATTAGTGTCAAACCAGTGTTTTCTTATTTTGTTGATTGTATCGAATGCTGGAAAATATCAAATCATTATAATTTCCATGAAAACAATTCTATGCATAATTAATGTTGATAACATAATCAAATTATCAGCAATACATTTATTTCTCAGTGCAGGAGCAATTTTTTCTAGAGCAGCAATGCCGGTTTGAGATATAATGTTATGGGATCCCAAAAGATGCGTACAGTGGTTTTTTGAACACTGTGTGATAGTGTGATAAGCAAATGAAGGTGTAAGTGTGTGTGCTGGTGTGGTTAATATAGAGTGTTTTGTTTCGAAACCTGATATTTCGATCCATGCGCATCTTTCGTATACTCAATATACAAAAACTCTAATAAAGGGAAACTAACGTGACAGCAAATCTGAATCGATTATTGCCTTTTCGAAGAACTTTAACAAACTCTATTAAATTCATCATTATAGTATAAAAAACTTGAGCAAAGGACATTGCGGACAAAGTATTCACAACTGGTAATCGTTTTCTATCAGATACGATTAGAGATTCTTGTGGCAGAAGGATCTATATCAAGATCTGGTCCAATCGTTTCTCATTTGAGCCAGTCCATATAAAAGTTTTGATATAAGATCTTAAAAAAAATAATGAAGTGTTCACATTTTGCATACATATTTTCACGAAAGGTCTACGAATAGAGGAATCAGAAATTTCGGATTTTGCCGGTTCAATATCTTAAGAAAAACTTGAAAAAACAAGCTGAATGTTTCATTGGTGCGTCTAACAATGAGTTCAATCTAGAAATAAAATATTTACTTCAATTTACTAACTTGTTATTGCTCTATGGAATTTCTTGAAGAAACAAAAGTCACTACATTATGCCTTTATTATGGATTTGACCTTTCGTGAATGGATAGAGATAGATATCTGATATGTTTTGTTCATCTAAGACTTATAGAGATCTATCTACAATTGTTTGGCTCATTGTTCATTTGAAATATAAAAGAACAGCTTTTTGCACAATGTACAATAGATGACAAATGATATTGTTTTGATTAGTTTAGCTTTTCATTGTTTTATCACTTTCCAATGACTCAAAAAACATTTCAAATCTATCATACCTGGTTACAATCAATTCCCATACATTGGACTAAATCATTATCAGGCCGACGAATATAAACTTGAAAGGCAATCATTGCTAGACGAGCCATTCGTTCGAAGCCAATTACAGAAACAATATCACGTATGAGACAAATTTCATTACATTGATAAAATGGACACGATAATTTAAAAGCCTCAAAACTCAAAGTCACATCAAAGTATGCATCGAAATAAGCACTCAAACATGAACGACAGAATGTATGTCCACATTGTTCCAATGTATATGGCGAATCGAAATCACAATTACATATGGAACATATATTCTTCATGTTGATTATAATATTTTCGGGCGTAACACCATTCGAATGATTGGACATACATGTAAATTTGTCAAGGAATTGTTTTACTTTTTGTTCACATTCAATCACTGCCTCTCGATCGCCGCTCACTGAAATTAAACATTTGATCATATTGATCACAATTTTTGTTTTCTTAGTATCCAATTCACGGAGTACACTCGAGTTTTGAATACATTGTCGGATACAATCTTCAAAATAGATAAATCAGATAATTTGACTTCAATTTCGAGCTTACCTTTTGGAATCGGAATCGAAATAGAATGTTCACGTTGTGAAAGTGTCGTTTGAATGAAAGTATCTATCTGTCTATGAGCATCTTGACATGCTGAATCTTCACCAAAGATACGCAACAATGTTGACTTCCAATTCCACCAAATATATGTACCAGTACGTTTTTGAAGATCTTGAAGAAAGTATAATCCTGCTGCATCGAAAAGTACCGTAACCTAAATAATAGAAAAGTCATATTCTACCTATCCAAATCAAGAATATTGTCTGAACAAGAAATATTGTATGATGATCGATATAATATGATGTAATAGATGAGGCCAAAGAGAATTTTCATCTTATTATCTGAAAGAGTTCTTTCGATATTGTCAATTTATTAGTTTTTTTTCCAAAAGAGAGATGTGGGATGATGAAAGTATCCAAAAACTTTATTGATCAATCATAATATCTCATCCAATCGTGAGAAACTTCATCATTCGCTTTTGTGAACAAGGAAAATGACAGATTTCTTGTTTTCTTTTATTGTTCTTTATTTAATCGAAACATAGTCAAATACATTGCATTTTTATCAATTACACTGGACTCAATATTTCAAACGTCTATAAAATTTACGAAAAAGAAAAGCTTTCAAATCTACATTTTGATTTCAGTTTCTGTTTATGTAACACATTTAAAGAACAAATGTAACATTTTATAGCTTTGAACAAACTCTATCTTCTCTTGGGTTTGCATCGATATTTGGCAATGAAGAAAAATTTTTAGTCTTACTTTAGCTTTGAAAATAAAAATTTTTCTATGTTTCTGGTTTGAATCATCGAGGAAATTTCCTTCGAAGTCAACTAAGAATAGATGTATGACATTGATATTCATGTTCATTTTCATGTTTATATGCGATGTTTTTTTTTTTATGAAATCAAATTCTTGCATTATGATATGTGTCTTGAAATAATCTTTCTATAATTTTTTATCCTATACCATCAGATTTATTGTGATCTATTTTTATGCTTATTCAACGGTTGAATAGAAAATATTTGAGCAAGGCTGTTTTTCAAACGTTCGGAATATTTTGAACACTTGTTATCAAAAAAACGCATAAATTCGACTAAGTGTATGACAGAGAAATCTTTTTCAAATTACGTGCTGCATAATACTTAGCTCACTTGATAGGAAAGAAGGAAATGAAATGTCCTTTTTTTTTGTAAACTCGACTTCAATATTGATTAATGATTTTTTTTTCAAAGTTCTCAATAGATTCCAACATTCATATTTTGTTTTCTTGGTTCTTTTTCGAGATAGATTCCATCAATGACGAACTCACCCATGAATGATTGTAAAGTTGAAATTCTAGACCTTTCAATAAATTGTCGAAAAGTATACGTGCTTTGTAAAGCTGTTGAATATTTGTTCCTCGAATTGAAATAAGAACATTGGTTTTGTCATCCTTCGTAACAATCTTTTTGAATACCATTATATTAGTAAAATTAGAACTGGTTTGGATAGTATTCATAGTTTGTTCAATTTTGTTATTGATGGCTTGTGCAAGTGCTTGATTAACTATAATTTTATGAACGATGATTGGAACAAAATGAAGTTTATTTAACCCAATATTGCTCATAGTAGAATTATCTAATGAATCGCACATGTTAATAGCCGTCATAATATCTCGAGGATCATTGAAATGAATGTATGCAACAGCACGACCATCTTCAGTCGGTGAACGAATTTCAATATTTGGCTCAGATAGAAAAAGATGGCGAGAGGTAAAAAGCGATTTGAGGTTGATGAAAGCTTTCCTGTTGTCTTCAGTCATGATTTTAGATCTATCCAAGAAATAATCTGCTGATAATTTCTTACGAAACACAATTGTATAAGTAATAGAATCGTTTATATTATACTGATTGAGTTCTCGAATGAGTGATCTTTCATCGATATGAGATGGTAATTGATAGAGTTTGACACGAAATTCATCTTGTTTGTTTTCATTTGTTTTTTTTCGTAAGTTTATCTGTCGTTGTTCTTGAACTGATAATCTTAATATACCAGCACCGATTAAAGGCTGTATTTTATTAATATCATCAACAGCTGCTCGCATTTCTTGTTCATCAGTAAATTGGACATAGGCTACCACACGACCATCATATTGATATGGTTCAATAAAAACTGATTCACGTTGAAACGATGGATACTTTTCGAACAACTGATAAACAGTATCTTCGGTCCCAATCGGTGCCATCCTTAACATATTGGTGCGAGATCTTAGCATTATCACATGAGTACAAGCAGTGAAAATTGTTCTCAAATCGACTTCATCTAGATTGGAAGGAATGTTTCGAACATATATCGAATCATTTGATCTTCGACTTCGTTGTAAGCGAAATGGATGTTGATATTGAGCTTCTAGTGCCTAAAAATTGTTATGTCTAGTTCTACAACATTCATAATATTGGTTTTTAAACAGTCAATTGGAACATAAGTTAAATTTTCAATCTTACAGAACTCGTCATTACGAAGAAAATCGTTTTCTACCCTTTGAAAGTTTTATCTAACTAATGAATTGTACCTTGAAGAAATATGTTCATAATTTATCTTTTCATAAAACGCTTTGCCAATGTTGTAACTTATAAGAGTGTGCTATACTAAGCAAGTGCTTTTGAATTCATGAGCATTTTCTGTTGTGAGAGGATGTTTCAGAGAAAGTAGTAAAATAAATCAACAGGTATTTAGTTGAATGTACAAGCAAGTTCTTTTTCATATCATTCATGCCATTTTATTACTTAGTTCAAAAAGGTCTACTAGTTTTTTTTTGTTGAATCCCGAATACGGACAGTAACTGGAAATTAAACAAACGATCTCTCACATATTAGCAAATGAATGCACTTTTATATGAACCACCTAACATTTGTTTATATCAAAGAAAAAGATATCTCATGGGAACCGAATCATATAGCTGACCTCTTGAGCTTGTTCAACTGTGGGAAAATTGACAATTGCATGACCATGATAGGGTTTCAATGGCCAAGAACATTTAACCATTGGATTGATGGGATTTATTTCAAATTGACAGCGAAAATGGCATCGATTTGTGAACAGTTCATAAGCTTGTTGTGCTCTTTGGCGTTTATTAAATACTACGCGCCCATTACATTCAGATTCAGTCATAAACCATTGAGCTTTCAACTTGTAATTCTGCCTGTTAGTATTGACTGATGTACGTGTATAACTAGGAGTTGCATATATTTGATAGTCATCCCATTTTTCACATGATAATTGAGTAGCCGCGAGTCGAGCGTCATTGCAGGTGGCATAGGTAACAGAAGCCGAACTGTTATTATAGTTTGTTCGAATTGTGGTCACATTTCGAACTGTAATATTAAATCAAAATAAAATTGAAATAAATAAATTTCAGAAACATATTCGCCGATTAAGAGAATGAAAAATGAAGTGACATCAAAGATAGGAAAGATTTCTTCTTTAAGAATATCTACTCCTTTCTGAGATTTCTGAAGAAGGATTTGTTATTAGTACAGATAGGTCTTAGGTAGTTATCGAAATACGTACTAGACTTCACTTTACACAATTCTTCCTTTTTTTCTAAAGATGACCTTAGTTGAGTCGGTCTTATTTTGTCGGTGATATGAAAGTAGTTTAGGACATTTTTTTGCAAATCCGTTGATTTTGAGAAAAACACAAAGCATTACAGAAAAGCAGTTTTCTGTAAATATTGAGTTTTTTTCCAATTTTATGCACTAAAGTTATTGAAAACTGGTCGTGCTCAGCAATGTTCGGAGTTTATTGTCCAATCTTGAGATACCGTTGAAACATAAAATAATCATTATTATGAAGAGAATTTAGCTTACCATTAAACAATAGCATATGTTTTTCTGCTAGGCATCTTCTAAGTTGATTTTAATAATAAGCTAACAACTAAAACCTAAGACGTGTATTAATATGATATTCTGTAGATGATACATCGTATTTGTTTAAGTGATGAAAAATAATCGACGTCGAAAAACTTGATGATTCATATTTGAGAAAGGAAAGATACTTTTAAATGAAAACTAGATTCAATTGAATCTTTGCTAATAAAAACTTATTTCAAATGACTAATTTAATTAGATTATTTAAGAAAATGGTACGTATAAATATACAAATTTCTTTCAGTTTACCTTGTCCATATAATTCACATTTTTGCTGAATTTGTTCTTCAGTAATATTTTTTGGTAAATTTTTGAGAAAAATTTTGATATATTCATCTTCAACCAATGCTAATCGAGGTTCAGCACCAGCTCCAAGTAAGATTCTAGTCGAACCAATAATTTGAAAGTCTTGCAATTCATTGCGTAGTTTGTCTCGTTCTCTATTCAAAATCTGATGAAGACATTGTTGAGCATTGGAAAGTTTATCTGGATGTCCCCAAATGGTAAGCTTCGATTGTGCACGATCAACTTCAAACAAGACATGTAATTGCTCTTCAAGTTGTGGTATTTTTTTACATTTTCTTCCAACGAGTGCAAGTAACAATGCTGGGCCAAGATTTACGAACGTATAATTGTCAAATGCACACTGTGAAGGTGAGCATGGTAACGAATCCAACCATGATTTATCAAGCCAATCGAGCTCGACCGGACACATTACAGTTAGATAATTTGTCTCGTTAATATTGATTATTTCATGATAGAGTATAAATTTGGGCGGCTGTTGTGCAAAAGTAATTACCGATGATCGATGTATGTGCGCAACTGTGTCTGTAGTACCAGTAGCTAGTTGATATCCAGCACGAATCGGTCCATTTGAAATAGCCAAATTTTGAAAAAAACCAGCACATATACAGTGTACGATTTGCTTGATCAGTTCATCATTCAATTCAGTCAAATGAACTTGAAATTTTGGATCTATTTGGTAAACTAATTCTCTAACGAGACTGTTCGCCATCGTCATTGACTTCCATCGTATCATATGCTTAAGGCACCAAGCTTTTCTACGATCTCTTCTTTCGCCACTGGCATGCCATTCGAGAAATATACGTAACAAAACGATGAAATCACCACCTATGCCTGTATCTCGAGCAAATGAAGCTCGTATCTCATCACTCGTGTGTTTTGATTGATCATTTTCGCCACGCCACCAGATATTCTGCACTACGCTCAGCATACCGACAAGAGCAAGCACATGACTAAGACAGTTGAGCTTTTGTCCCGTCAAAATCATAACTGAAAACATAGGTTCTAGGCCGAGTTTAGCCATACGACGACCTAGACCAGTCAACTTGCCGGTTTTTGAATTGATTGCACCAAGCCATGTTAAACTCTTAACAGTTTCTTGAAGACTATTATTCGAAGGTGACTCTAACCAATCGAACTTTGTAATATCCTCGACTATATCAAGATGTTTTAGTTTCAGTACAGCTATACTCGGTTGAATACAAAGAATTTCTGCACGAGAACAAACTTCCAGTGATTGATAAGTATCATATGTGTAAAGATGATAACACTAAAAAGTTTCCGAAAAAAAAACTAGTTTCGTATCAATATTTCGATAAATTGGTTTTGATAAGTTATCCTTATAAGATATTTTATTAAAGAGATTTCTACAAAACTTAAGATTAATTTGAAATGGATATTCCTTTTCTTGCCTTTTTAATATCGGCTTAGTTTTAGATAATAGATTATTAGCATCGGAGTTTTTAAAGAAGGCAGCTAAAAAGCAGCTTATAACGTTTGAACGAAAATTCATAGCGACCTGCGGTTTTCACCATTCAGTAGAGAACAGCATCGGGTAGGATATGGGTGCGGTTGAAGAAGTTACCCCCTCATCCACATCTTACTAAAAATTAGTCTTGAAAAGTACTCTGGAAAAACACCTCACACTCGCCCTGATGCTGTTCTCTGTTGAATGGTGAAAACCCCAGGTCGCTACGACTTTTCGTTCAAAAGTTATAAGCTTTTTTCAGCCGCCTTCTTTAAAAAATTCTGATACCACTATGCAACTTTTTTCAAGTCAAATTTTAACAGGCTACAATACATTTTTTTCCTAGAAAATTATCTATGACACAAACGAACTAGGTATATAAACATTCATTTTGTTTTTTGGTTTGTTCCGATACTGTTCTACTGAGTTACTTAAAACATAGTCCACTTTTAGCTTGCGAGAAGTTTTTGACATGGGAGGTAGATTTACGGTTCTGATGAATCAATTATTGACAAGGGAATGATTGAATTTCAATAAACCAGATTTTTTTTCTGTATCACTGAGTGAAACGGCTAGTAGGACTAGTTACTATACTATAATTTACCGTTCCTGCTGACGTTCGTCCTGCTCTACCACGTCGTTGCTTTATTGAACTTTGTGTTGTATAGCCAATTTTGAGTACTCGTATACGTCGTCTAGTATCCCACATGACTTCTTTGACCATCCCCGAATCTATGACATGTTGAATGCCATCAATAGTTATTGATGTTTCAGCCACATTGGTCGAAAAGATAATCTTGCGTTGTTTTTTACTATTCTTTGTCATAAATACAGCTTGCATTTCATCTTCATTTAATTTACCGTGTAATGGTAAAACAAGAACCGATTCTGAAGAGTCAATTTTACTCGTAACTTTATCGATAGCTTGATTGATCTCATCCTGACCAGTAAGAAAAACAAGTATGTCACCAGGAATACCACTGGTATGAATTTCCAAAACTTTGTTTACTGCTTCGTCAACATGATTTTCAGCATCTTCCATAGCATAAATATCTTTGATAGGAAATGCTCGGCCAGGAACTTCGATCAAACATGCATCTTTGTAATATTTACTTAATAGTTTATCATCAAGTGTTGCTGACATAACAATTAACTATAAAAATAATACTGTACAACAGACTATATTGAAAAATACTCAATTATATTAATGAATTGTTTCATTTTTCCTCTGATCTTAATTAAAGAATTAGCACTTGGCATATAAGATTTTCGAAACCTTCTTCTTGAAAGTTTCTAGGAGAGTGTCTGAATCTATTTTGATAATCAAGTGGCATCTATAGATACTATATAGTCAGCATCAAAGTTCTTGGGAAACATGCTTAACTTTGCGGAAAATGTCCATGTTATTTGAATGTTAACCATATATTGACGAAAGGGTCGATCATCTTCCACTTCTGGATACAAGATAATCAATCTACTAATGAAATCCTGTTCATACTGTCCGATACGATCCTACGTAGAAGAGCAAAATACTCAGATCTATTTAACATAGAAACAGTTATCGCCGACTTCACATAATCATAACCAAAAATTGAATTGCGATCCGTCAATTACTTCTAACAAAGAACGAGAAAACTATGAAAGAAGTTACCTAGAATATGCTACACAACTGAAATTGAGATGTGTAACTGAAGAGTATAAGAAGAAGCAAGTACAACAGATAATATACTGCATGAACAATAAATGAAATCGATCGGTATTTTTCGACAAAATCTATTTTGAAATTTTTTAAGAACACGATTTGTCGCCTGATCAAAAACATCAAGCATGTGGATAAAAGAAGCCCAATAACAGGTGGAAGATCATATTCGAGAATACTTTCCACATCACTGGACATATTTCATGCCATTATTTCAAACGAACAATCGAAAACTTCTGCAACTATTAGACATTCAAGATCTTCTTCTTGATGTCAGAAAGAAATTTTGATCACAATGCTGAGTTTTACAAAACAACGTAACTCAGCACATAACCATTCTTAGCAATGAAGTTTTGTAGGAAAAAACTCTTCTTGATTAGTCTACCAAGAAAATGAAGACTTTTTAATACTAACGGACTGAACAAATTTTTCGCACGACAAACGGTGTAGAATTGACGGATCAATTCGGAGTGATATGATTGAAGGAAACGAAATGTTTGACACTAAGTAAATTAAGAGCGAGAGCATAAACTATGGGCTATTGTAGTACATAATATATTTAAACTAAAAGAAAATATATATATTTCTAATATGTCACTTATTATCATCAAATGTGTCAGTAATTGTATATTAATATTATTCACTCAAAATAGATATTTGATTTAGACTTATCAAAAGAAAATGATTCGAACTGTTGCAGAAAATAAATTTGAGAAAATGTTTACTGAATCGACAATTGCTTCAATCTTATTATTTATCCTTCAAATTAGCATTCATGACAGAAATCCATATCAAACATTAACTTTTTTTGCTCTCGAAAGATCATTACAACTAGAGAAATATTATTATTAAACATTTCTATTTATCATCGAAAAGAATGTGTTAATTTGAAATCGAACGCGAGGTTTCATATTCTAAACTCTCTCTGACATGGAATAAGACTGATAAATAAAGAACGTATTTGAATAACTCGTAAGTAATGAAATAAGAAATCAGAATATTAGAATTCAAGAATGTAACTTACCTTAATATCGGAACGTCTGCTTAAGCACAATTTCATGGCACCAAAGAGTAGATCAGTATCAACGTGTCTTTCATGCGCTTCATCAATGATAACTAAAGTGTAAGCATATAACATTGGATCCGTTTGGTATTCATTCAATAAAACGGCATCAGTAACAAAACGAATTCGTGTCCGGCTTGAAACTTTTGGACGACAAGCGCCCACATGACAACCAACCTAAAAGATAAATCGGATATCAAACAAGCTCCCTAGTTGAACATCAATATTTGTTAATGATGATAAATAACATAAAAAGACTGAGACTTTCAGTTTAAAAGAATATGCGCAATATATAAATGATACTTAGTTTATTGACTTCACATCAGCATGATCATTATGTCAAATCATCTAACAAATTTCAACTGTATTGTATAAATAATCTTTTTATTACTTGTACATTTCGTGTTAACGCTGAAAAGTGTTTAAAATAAAAATCCAATGTCAAGTTACCGTTCAACATTTGCCCATTGGGTCAAAAAAACGTTTAACTAGTTGAGTATTGCAATAAATGCCATACACTGCTAAAAAGAGATGCGATGCCTTTTCTCGATTCATTGCCTAAGACGACTGTTCGTATAGGAGCCGTGTGACTCAAGTATCGAAAATGCATAATCTGTTTCCCTTCTGTTGTCATTCCATATCACAAATCTATTTTCTAAGCGTAGATATGGCACTTATGCATACGTAATAGTGCATGATAAGAAACTATCTACATTAATCATTTTAGATTGACATATGATGGGATTTTCTTTGATATGATGCATAACGAACTGTCAAAAAATCATACTTTCATTTCTATCGGCATGAACCACTTTTTACCTGGCTATCGTTTGCTGCCTTATTACAAGTCACACATTAGTGCTCATTAATGTTTTCTTAATCAATGTCTTACCTCTTCACCCACTTGACAACCGAATTCTTTAGCGACACGCGAGGCCAATTCACGTGCAGCCAAACGTCGTGGTTGAGTACACACAATTTGCCCTAATCAGACATAACATGTAATGCATAAATCAGCAAATAGTTCGTGCAAACAAACCGTAATCGGCAAATCCAGCATCAGCGAGATATTGAATTAATTGACTACTTTTACCCGATCCCGTATCTGCCTTAAGAATAATTACTCGATTGGATTTGATTGTGTCAATCAATTGTTGCCGTCGTGCATAGATAGGTAAACGAGCTTTAAAACGTTCAATTTCTCGTTTTAGTCTATTCAAATGATAATTAGCGTCTTCCAACGTCAATGGATTAATAGTGGATAGATTGAATATTGTTTGTTGGAATATTTCAAACTGGTCTTTTAACTCTTGAAGATTTCCTTCTGTTTGAAGTTTCATATCGTCATCATCATCCATATCTTCAAGCAATCTTTGTTGTTCGATGAGAAGTGATTGATGTTGTTTGGTTATTTCAGGTATGTTATCCTATACAGAAAAGATTAAAAATCAAACACGAAAACAACGATCGAATTGAAATGAAATTCATTTCACCTATTGTTGACATAAGTATCCATACATACGCGCAATAGAGCTTGAATCTCGTCTTTCGTTTGTTGCAACAGAGTTGATGAAATTAATCGACAATGATTATAATTATTCTCGTTTGAGGATCTGGATTCTGAGTCCAAGACTTTACGATTTGTATATGGTTTTTCCCACGGCTTGCTCGATATGGACAAGACACCAGGCTGTTGACAGTATTGAGACCCAATATCATAGAAATAGAATTGTTGACCGTTCGGATCAAAGTTATCGTGATGTACTATTGGAGGAAAACTAGAACAAGAAGAAATTTCACTTTGCGTATAGGTAAGATTTTCATTGGTAGAATATTACCAAGGTAACAATTTTAAACAAGCTTGCTGACTTTCATATTCAAATTGAGAATTATCATAAGAACCGATTGGCCATTGTGCACTGTTATAATCAGGTTCATTTGAAAAATAATTAAGCATGTTATCGTATTCATAATTCGGATGTAAGTATCGACAAGTTTCACGTCGTTTACATGTTGCTCCAAATTTGCACCATTCGTTGATTTTTGTTGGCATAGCCATCTTTTAAGTGATAAGTAAGAAAAAAGAAAACGTGTTTGTCAGCGTTTGTCATATAATAACTGAAAAATGAGTGGAAAGAACCAAGAAAAAAAAAACAGAACGGAAAAGAATAACGGTCTATGACTCATTTGTTTTTTTCTTCCCACTTATAAGTCTTCCTCTGATTCTACAGTAACAGAGAAAGAAAGGAGGCCATAGTGCTTTTGATTGGAAGTTGGTGATGGGAATGATCGCATGGAGTGGAAATATACATGACAAATTTTTTTTGTACCTTGTGCCCTGACTGAGAAAAATTTTCTAATCCTTACCCTATCCTATCCTGCAGGGGAGGTAACCTTGCATATCTCTAGCATGGATATTGCAATGTGTATTGATGCCATAAACGGAGGTCAAATCAACTCCAATACTGAAAAAAATTTTTATTATAGATGGCGCTTCAAAAATTTTTATTAGTAAAATGTATTCTGTATATACTAATGAGAGTAAAAATGAATTTGTTTAATAATACAATGCTTATTGAACAACAATATATGATAGATGCGATCAACCAGAGGGTGGGTGTGCGATGTGGATGTGAGTGTGGGTGGGTGTAAGTGTGGATGAAGAGAAGAACCACACCTAGACCTACACTCCGCACCCACATTCACACTCACCCATACTCGCGCTCTCTATTCAATATTTGTTGAAGATATTGCTAAGCATTGGAAAGTTTATCTGTATTACCCCAAATAGTTAGCTTCGATTGTGCATGATGTACTTCAAATAAAACATGCAATTGTTCTTCAATTTGTGGTGCTTTTCAACATTTTTTTCCAATGGGTGAAAGTAAAAGTGCCGGACCAATATTGAAAAATGTATAACCTTCGAATACACATTGTAAAGGTGAACGTAATAACGAATCGAGTCATAATTTATTAATCCAATCAAGCTCAACTGGACAAGTCACAGTTAGAAAGTTCGTCTCGTGAATATTGAGTATTTCATGATAGAGTATAAACTTAGGCGATTGTTGTGCAAAGAAAACTGTCGATGATCGATGGATTTGTGCAGTCGTATCTACAGTACCGACTGCCAATTGATAGTTAGCACGAATAGGCCTATTTAAAATAGCTCAATTTTGAAATAAACCAGCACATATACACCGCACAATTTGTTCGATCAATTCATCGTTTTATTTGGTAAAATGAATTTGAAATTTTGAATCAATTTGATATGCTAATTCTCGAACAAAATTGTTTGCCACATTCATTGATTTCCATCTTATCATATGCTTTAAGACATCAAGCTTTTGTATGAATCAATTTCAAGAGTTTTGACAATCGTCGCATCTACATAATCCTCAAGATCTTTAGCAGCATATTCGCCTTCAATTTGAAATGTTCAACCGAGAACTTTGATAAACCAAGCATATTATCACAATAGCTGCGCAACAAGTCCTCATATAAAGTCGCAAGACATGATGATCAATTATGAAAAGCAATATCGTTTGATATACAATGCTTTATTAAAGTAAAACTATGTTCTGAATCGAATTTCAACGATATTATTTATGCGAACAAAACTAGTTCATATTAAACATTTTTAAATGTTATAAACAGTAAAATCAAGTATATAGTTTATGAGAAACATATGCAAAACTCGTTCAAAACTGTTTCTGTGACTTTTGAAGTATACGTTGGTTATCAGCCTTATCAAATTTATACTTTAAATTTTCGCGACGGATCATACGAATAGTATTCAATAGAAATTGACACGAAATATTGTAAACTATTCACCAGAGAACAAATGTGTATATTGAGATATTTTTTCCATTGGTCAAGTACATAAAGGCTATAGGGATATTGCATTATGGGTGACGCAAGTAGAATTGAATGGACTATTAATTGGTCGTCTCGATTGTTCCTGTCAAGTCTCCGAAAGATTCGAAGGTCTTCAGAGTATCAAAAGATTCCGAAATTGGTCACATCTCTTCTGTTTTCCCAAGCAACAACGTCCATGGATCGTCTGAATTTGGTACTAAATGAAGTTAATGCTTCGTTTGGGCTTTCGTCAAATTTTAATAAACTATTGAAAATAGTTATCAGCGAATAGTGCTTTCAGCAACAATGATATGAGACTTCGAATGGTTAGACTTTATTTATACAAAAATTCAGGACTTATAATCTCCAACGAAGAATATCATTGTCATCGTTCACCAAGATTTCAAGTTTGAGATAGTTGTATCGTCGATAGTCGCCATTCACGTTTGGATGCTGCAGTCCATGAAGACAAGGTACCGATTGAACGATGCAATACTCACTAGAGCCGTTCTTGTGAACGTGTAAAAAGACACTGTAACACGACTGATGATCTTGATTGATCGCGTTCGACTCAATGGTGAGATGTTAATCCAACATACATCCTTTTGTATCACAGAGATGGGAACCTGCAAACAAGCATTTATAAACATTTTATTGTAATCAAACAAATACAATATTCGTTCTCTATATCGATTACACGTGTGACATGATATTTTTATTTTTCTTTCTGTTGTTCATCTTCTTTTCTTTCTTTTCTATTCTCTTTCCCTTTTACTATTTTCTCTGGTATATTCCTCAACTGTATATGTATTATTTCCTAGTGGCAAAAAGGAATACAACCTCATCGTTTTTATTCAATGATATCTTTCTACGCAGATGAAAAATGACTACCTTTTTCCCTGTGTAAATACTCACACATTTTCTTCATGAAAACATCGGATATAGTCATCAATGTCTTCGATAAGACTGTAACATTAAAATTCGCCATGACATCAGTAAACTCACCCTATAATGATCCAATTTCGTTGAAGAGCACTGGAAGCGATGGCAGAGAAGACCATAAAACCACATGGTAGATGTGCAAGTGGTTTATCACTGATCGATTTCTATGAACAAAACTTGGCAAATGCCTTTTGTATTGACGGCCAATAATTACTGTTGTTGGAAATCTGTATCTGCGAGTGGTTCGTGAACTTCTTCATGAGATGGTTGGCCCTAACGAGACACTTCATTCAATCGATAAAAAATGCACCTATTCAAAAAGACAAAGAAAGAATATAAAGAAAAGCATGATCAGGAAATTATTCATCATTATGTGCCTCGATGCTTGCGCATGTACCTAGTTCAGCCACAGTGATCGGGCTATCAATGTGACTCTCATTGATCAGTCGCGCGACGTCTTGCTCTTGTTGTATCGAAAGCAACTGGACCACAGTGATGTTGTAATCGACGGAGAGACTAAAGAAATGCTAATGGTTTTCTTTACAATCTTACGCAAGTTTCCGAATTTATACTATAGATAGAAAGAAATATGAGAAAAGGGTAAAAAATACCTATGACTATCTTACTTTCTATGTAAGTATAGAACAGCCAGTGTCCTTCGAAATTTGATCGAATTTAATGTCCATCGGATACGAAGTTTTCAGAAATATCGCAGTAATATACTTTTGTCCAGCTTTGGTGAAACGTCTGTTAGAATAGTATATAGAAGTTTGAATTGATAATGCCATAAGACAAAATGAACAGACAAGAAAAGAGAAGAACGAAAACGAAGAATTGAGAGAACAAAGATATATATGCAGACGAATCGAATTGAGTAATGATAGAATAGCGAATAATGTGTAAATAATACTAATTAACGTGAGGGTGTGGGTGTGGGTTTAAATACAAACTTTAGACACCCACATCCGAGATATACGACTTACCAAATTGATAAATTTGAAAAAGTAAAAAAGTTAGAATTTCGTTTTAGAATTCTTTTTCTACTAATAAGCAATCGTTTTAATAAGAAATGAGTTCGAATAAATGAAAGAGGAAAGGCAACAGTCTAAAATATATATCGATAAAACAAGTAACGCTCATCTAGGGGTGTCAGTTTCGGGTTCCGTTCCTAGGAACGGGAACCCACTTGGTTATTCATTTCTGTGCATTTTTGAACATACTGAAGTGCTTATACATACTTTTTATTTCGTTTTGAGACGAGTCACTCCGGGTTCCCGGGTTCCTGGGAACGGGAACTCGTACCGGGTTCCGGGTTCCTAGGAACGGGAACCCGGTTAAAAATTCATTTCTGTGCATTTTTGAACACACTAGAGTTCATAAACATACTTTTTCTTTCGTTTTGAGACAAGTCTCTCTGGGTTCCCGGGTTCCCAGGAACGAGAATCCACACCGGGTTCCCAAAAACTGGGAACCCTATCTAAACTTCTATTCTGAACGATTTGCAACAGGGTTCCTCATTCTTAGGAACCCGGTGCGGGTTCCCGTTTCTGGGAACCCGGAACTCGATACAGGTTCTCGTTCTTGGGAACCCGGGGAGACTTCTCTCAAAACGGAAGAAAAAGTATGTCTATGAACTCTAGTGTGCTCAAAAATGCACAGAAATGAATTTTTAACCGGGTTCCCGTTCCTAGGAACCCGGAACCCGTTACGGGTTCTCGTTCCCAGGAACCCGGAAACTCGGAGTGACTTGCTCAAAACGAAAGAAAAAGCATGTCTATGAACTTCAGCGCGTTCAAAAATGCATAGAAATGAATAATCAAGCGGGTTCCCGTTCCTTAAAAACGGAACTCCAAAGAACGGGAACCCTGACACCCCTAGATGACAGACATATTTCGATAACAAGGTTAACAAAATTGACCTTTATTTATTCGATAAATGTTATAGAAGTTCATCACCATTTCTTTTATAATGACAACGATAAATATGATCGTGGTGATGGTGATTGAGATTGATTAAAACGTTGAAGATTGACTTGTTTTAAATAGATTCTTTTGTAGACACGGACGATTACATTCAAGGGGATATATTTCAACTATTGAAGATTGAATTCAACCCAGCAATGCCAAAGGTTCAAAAAATGTCCACTTTACCTAAAGTTCTCTATGAATATGTGGGAGTTTACATACCTTATGAAATATCACGTATATCAGTAGTGTTAGGAAGAGCAAAATATAAATATTACACCAGTGGATATTTTTGTATTCCAGCGGAATTATTCGACCTATATCATGTATCCAGAAGCACTGCATGATTGATAACAAATTACATCTCATTAATTTTGTTTAATATATGATTCATATACAGATAAAATCTTTGTATATGGGTGAATCCATGGGAACTATACCACTTTTCTGGAAAAAGTTTGTTTTCTCAAATTTTTTTTCTAGATAGGTGTATAGTTATCAGAAAACATGTTTGAGAAAAAGAATTCTGACCTTTAATAGAACTATATGGGGGTTCTATGTCATTCTTCAGGAACATGTATATATGGCTATTATAATATTCATCATTAAATCAATTAATATCGTCTTGATATTTTTCAAATTAGATTTTTTTCTCAAAATGTTTTTCTAGATAGTTGTATATTTGTCAGAAA